GAAGGACGTCCCGGTGGCCCACTCACTCGGGACGCCCGCTGGGGTCTGACAGGGGCACTCGGAGCACACTTTTCTGGGGAAACTCCCATTTCTCCTTTTCTTCTCTGTCTCTTTTGTCTCTCCTCGCCCCCTCTCTGTCTCTGAGGAAAAGAAGAGGGGACGCTCGCTCTCCCCAGAGAGCTGCTCTGACCCCTTTGTCCCCGCTGGGGAGCGGTGCTCACGGCCAATGCAGCCGCATGCTCCTCCGGACCGTCCACTTACGGAGCAAATGCCCTCACTTTGAGGAAAACATCTCGGAAATGGTTTCCTGCTTCCCAACATTATCAATCCCTTTGTCTTTTTAAAAAAACATATTTTATTGATTTTTTACAGAGAGGAGGGGAGAGGGATAGAGAGTTAGAAACATCGATGAGAGAGAAACATCGATCAGCTGCCTCCTGCACACTCCCCATGCCCCCTACTGAGGGGGATCAAGCCCACAACCTGGGCATGTGCCCTTGGCTGGAGTTGAACCTGGGATCCTTCAGACCACAGGCCGACACTCTATCCACTGAGCCAAACCGGTCAGGGCCCCTTTGTCTTCTTCATCTTTACAAAATCACTGAGAAATCTAGTTTATTAGCCAAAAAAACCTAAAAACAAAACAAAAAAATCAAAACACACCACTAAATTTAAAAAAAAAATAGCCAAAATCCCAGATACTTTGTATTCAGAGCAAAAACAAACAAAACTTAGAGTCGGACTCCACAGGAGAGGTTTGTGTTGATTGAAGAGCGTCCCTGTGGGTGGGCGTCGGACGTGAGCAGAGAGGGGCCGTGGCCAGCACGAAGGTCACCAGGTGGAGAGCACCCAGCACCCAGCACCCAGCACCCCGAGAGGCAAGACGGAGACGCCCCCCCGCCCCGGGCGACCTCCCCCCAGCATATCACGGTCATGCCGTTTGGGTAGAAACATCAGTGATGAGAGAGAACCATGGACCGGCTGCCTCCTGCACACCCCCCACTGGGGATGGAGCCCTAAACCCGGGCCTGTGCCCTGACCGGGAATCACACCGTGACCTCCTGGTTCAGAGGTCGACACTCAACCCCTGAGCCACGCCCACTGGACTGTAGTTGTAATTTCTTAAGATGAGGTCCCTCTGGAGAAAGGTGGTCCCCACTCAATACAACGGGCGTCCTTCTAAGGGGCCCGGCCCACCCCGTGCCCTCGGCCTCCGCCTCCAGAGGGACACCCTGCACTTCTTGGTTCAGCACCCAGTTCCTGGTGCCACAGCAGCTGAGGAAGGGGAGGGGGAGGGGACAGGAATCAGGGGTCCTCGGCGGCCGAGCTCTGACCGGCCGAGCCAAACCGGCAGCCGCTTCCCAAGGACGTTATTCAGCGAAGAGGCTGGGAGCAGCGAGAACGGCTCTGTCAGGGGGAGGAGATCACAGCGAGGGGCCTTGTGAGGGAGGGGCGTGCTGGCCGCCCAGCCACTGCTCTTCATCTCGCTGCTGAGAGGGCAGCCTGACCCAGCCCGGTGCCCAGGCCTCCTCCGCCAGCCAGGCCCTCCCGCGTGCCGGCAGGGTCTCCCTGTGGGGGAGGAACAGCCGGGCAAATACCCATCGGTTCTAGGTGCCTGAACCTCAGACTGGAGACAGAGCACACGCACACGCACACGCACACGCACATGCACACACATGCACACACGCACACGCACTTCAGAAGGAGTGAGAATGGTGAAATCTCTCCAGCTTCCTTTTCAAAACGCTCACCTGGCTTGCCAGTGGGATGCCCCCCAGAGCTCAGCACAGTCGTGCGGAAAACTCCCGGGCGGGCACACGGACCAGCCTTCTGGTCTCTGACCTGCAGGGAGGCCGGGCCAGCGCGGCGCCCTTTCCCGACGCGGCTCCTGGGCGGCAGCTGCCAGTTTATTGAACTCAGCCTCAAGCAGACACATTTGTTCCAAGATGTCCCTCAGCTTCCCGAAGGCTCATCACAAGCACGTCAACTGACACCTCGAACACAACAGCACTCAGGGGACAGCCTGGAGAATGGTGAAATCTCTCCAGCTTCCTTTTCAAAACGCCCACCTGGCTTGCCAGTGGGATGCCCCAGTCGTGCGGAAAACTCCCAGGCGGGCACACGGACCGGCCTTCTGGCCTCCCGACCTGCAGGGAGGCAGGGCCAGCGCGGCGCCCTTTCCCGACGCGGCTCCTGGGCGGCAGCTGCCAGTTTATTGAACTCAGCCTCAAGCAGACACATTTGTTCCAAGATGTCCCTCAGCTTCCCGAAGGCTCATCACAAGCACGTCAACTGACACCTCGAACACAACAGCACTCAGGGGACAGCCTGGCTGCTGGGCCTCGTCCAAAGGCGTCAGCGTCCTGTGGGCCAGATGTTCCCACTGGAGTTCACGGGAGCAACCATGGCTTCAAGAAAGATGTGGAGCCCGGCCGGCGTGCTCAGTGGTTGAGCGTCGACCTATGAGCCAGGAGGTCAGGGTTCCAGTCCCGGTCAGGGCACAGGCCCGGGTTGTGGGCCCGATCCCCAGTGTGGGACGTGCAGGAGGCAGCCGATCGATGATCCTCTCTCATCACTGATACTCTCGAGCCGCAGTTTGCCGACCACTGGCCTAGAGCCCCGACCTGACCTCTAGAGCCCCGACCTGAACCCCTGGGCCCCTGACCTGACCCCTGGGCCCCTGACCTGACCCCCCTGTTTAAAATGTGGAAAGATGCCCCGTGGGTGATACACGAACAAACTAAAGGACTGGCCCACAGCAGAGACATCACCGCGTTTGCCCTGGTCGGTCTCTAGGGGGCGTTGACACGAGGGACACGTTTCTGGGCTCCTTGTGGATGGAGCTCCTTCCCTGTAAGCACTCTCGCGTCATCTGTGTGAAACGAGCCCCGTTCCTCTCGTGGGACAGGTGACAGGTGAGTGGGAGGCCCGGGAGCAGGCGGCAGTAACAACCCAGACCAGCGTGGCAGAACCAGAGCTGGCTCCGTCCGCCTGGGCGGTCAGGACGTTTGTAGGACAGTGGCCGCCAACCTGACCCCCTAGAACAACGGTCGGCAAACTGCGGCTCGCAAGCCACATGTGGCTCGCGAGCCGCAGTTTGCCGACCGCTGCCCTAGAGCCCCAACCTGACCTCTAGAGCCCCAACCTGACCCCTGGGCCCCTGACCTGACCCCC